CTCTCTCTCTCTCTCTCTCTCGCTCTCTCTCTCTTTCTCTCTCACTCTCTCTCTCTCTCTCTCTCTCTCACACACACACACACACAAATTACGCAAAATCATCCGAAATACCACTATTTTGACAAAAAATGATCAGAAAAAACAACCAACCCACACCTCACTGACCACTGCGAGATCCACAGAGAAAGCAAACTCACCCAAACCAGAACACAAGTACCATGAGTCACGACCACAAGTATTCTTCATGGTATGACGAATGTGGTATTGGCGAGCATGGAACCTAATAGGCGAGGCATAAATTGGTGGTAGATTTTGAAAGGAAACGTGGACGAGGCCGAATCTTGCAATAATATCCCAAAAGGCACGTGCTACGGATATCAAATATGCAGGACGGATAAAGCCATGCATGACCAGAAACAAATCCATTTCGGAGCCTCTTTATAAACACGCACAGGAATTCGAAACGGCCCATCGCTACCAAGCGCTTAGCACCGGGCCATTCTCTTTTAAAACAACAATAATAGAAGAAAAGACTCCTAAACACCTAAAATAAGCAAACAAATAAAAAAAAAATAACTAATCCACATTAATTCACAAACAATCTCATCAAATCAATAAACAAAATAACTATCAAGAAACAGCCCTGAAAAAATAAAAATTCTTCCACGCAAGCAAATCCCCTTCCGAGGCCTTTTTAAACATGCACGCCCATTCACCCACGCCCGCGCCGTCCAGCCTTCCTGACCGCGCCGCCCGCACGTGACGGTCAGCTGGTGCAACTTTCTCCTCCCGGCAGCTGGTGTGGTTCGGGTGCATCAGGGCGGAGAAAGTGAGCGGGTAAGCCACAGCCTCCGCGGAGGGACGCCCGGCATCTCATCTCCGACGCGCTGGGCTAGGGCGGCGCGGAGGGAGGATGGGCGTCGATTTATCCATCTATTTATCTATTTATTTATTTTTTCTTATATATTCATCTTTACTTTTTTGTGTGTGTGTTTTCATTATTTATTTATATATTTTTCTTGTGTTTCCATTATTTATAAATATATTATTTTTGCATTATTATTATTTTTTTAAAGGTTTGGTTGATACGTCGACGCTTCGGGCGGAATGAATCGACATAGACAATACGGAGTAATAGGAAGGATAAAAATAGTAAATGATAATAACATAATTGATAATAACAATACTAATGATAAAAATAATCATAAACCTGAAGAATAACAGAAAAAATGGTAACTATAACAACAATAACAACACCCCCACCAACAATAATGATAATGATGATGCTACTACTACTGCTGCTAATGATGATAATAATAATGATAATAATAATAAAAATAACAATAATAATGATAATAATAAAATACTACTACAACTCCTACTACTAATATTACGCATCACTAATAAGACTAAGAATAAGAATTAAAAGAATAATAAAAATAATAATCATCATTATCATTATCACATAATAATAACAACTAAAACGATAGTACCACTAATAAGCAGCAGCCTCCCAGCCATATAAATTTCCAACGTGAGCAACCTCCTAATGACATTAACATAAAGGCCGCCCAATAATTCACGGGCGGCTGACACTGACGGCTTCCTGCGCCCATCGCCCCGTTTAGCGGCATCTATTTAGTGCCTGCGCCGCCCACACCGCCCACAGCTAACGTCACTCACGCCGCCTACCTGCCCGAGCCACCTAGGCAGTTGGCCCACACGCAGACGCAGCTACAGCACCTACACGAAAGGGAGAAGGGGGGGGGGGGCGGAGGTGGAGGGAGAGAGGAAAGAGAAGAGAGGGAAGGGAGGGAGAGAGGAAGGAAGAGAGGGAAGGGAGGGAAAGAGGAAGGAGGAGAGGGAGAGGGAGTGAGGGAGGAAAGGAGTGAGGGAGTGGGAGAGAGAGAGAGAAAGAGAAGGAGGGAGGGAGTGGGAGAGAGAGAGAGAGAGAGGAGAGAGAGAGAGAGAGAGAGAGAGAGAGAGAGAGAGAGAGAGAGAGAGAGAGAGAGAGAGAGAGAGAGAGAGAGAGAGAGAGAGAGAGAGAGAGAGAGAGAGAGAGAGAGAGAGAGAGAGAGAGAGAGAGAGAGAGAGAGAGAGAGAGAGAGAGAGAGAGAGAGAGAGAGAGAGAGAGAGAGAGAGAGAGAGAGAGAGAGAGAGAGAAAGAGAGAGAAAGAGAGAGAAAGAGAGAGAAAGAGAGAGAAAGAGAGGTGTGAGTGTGAGTGTGACTATGTGAGAGTGAGTGAGTGATTGAATGAGTGTGATTGTGTCTGTGTGTCTGCTTGTGATTAATAAGCGTGAACTTGGTCTTTCGGTCTTTCACCTTTTCCCAACCCCCTCTTCCCACCTTCCACCTCCCCTTTTGGTGTATCGACGTGGCGTTGGCATTTCCGCTGCCCACAAGTCTTCCTCTTATCTCAACCCTTCCTCTTACGTGGGCGGGGTTTAGGGGGTGGGGTTGTGGGGGTGTGGGGGGGAGGCGAAGTATGGTGTAACGGGT